GAAGGGACACACACCTGAGAGAAACATTTTCTGCAGTTTCCTTGCAGTACTAGGAGATAGGTGACAAGGCACAGACAAATTATGGGAAGTCTTTCTTGGACTGAAGGGAGTAGAGGAGTCTTGCTTTTTCTGCAGGTGAAGGTTCTACACAGTAAAATATTCCATCCTCAACAACACTGATGCTTTTAAAATGGAAATAAAAGAACTCAAAATTTCCAAGAGGATCAATTTCTCTACCGCCTGTCTCTGGGGGTCTGTACTTGAGCTTGGACAGTGTAGCGCCAGCATGCCATTCCTTATTATCACTCTCCCTTTGAGATTTGGGAATCAGTTCAGGGACTGCTCAACCGTCTTGTACCTTACTTCATCCACTGGGCCTCTGCGTCTTGTCTCCCTGAAGGAGTATACTGATCATTCCCTGTCCACCACCAGTATTGTCTTTTTTCCACTCTCTAAGCCCCAGGTGTACTTTTCTGGTAGAGTGATTACAAGTGGGGTCAAGGTCATCTTGCAGAGAGCCAGAGACTAGTTCCCAGCACTCACAACTGCCTGGAACTCCAGCTCTGGAAGATCCTCTCTCCTCTTTTGACACCTGCCCTCACATGTACATACCTATTCACCCCCACTACGCATAAGTAAAACTCCAATAAATTTTAGAAAGACTTATGTTAACGAATGCAGACAATGCTGTCTTCTACAGGCAGGAGAGAGGTTTTCACTTCACTACAGTTTTCTGCGGAAGGTTGCTGTTGAGTACATTCAGACTTAGAAGTCTGAGTTCCACCATAGTCACTTTAAGTATAAAGGAACTGCAAGCCTCAGATACTCTAAGAGAGTCCCCTTGCTGTTTTCGAGTGTTTTGATAGATTCGGTACTTAGAATACGCTTGTCTACAAGCCTATGAAAGATCACAGAATATTCTAACGCCGCTTTTCTGATTTCTGTTCCATTTTCGGAGCTCCTCCGAGTCCATGGATGGAGATGGAATGAGCCCTGGTGTTCTGCAAGCTGCAGGAAGAATTCGAGCAGGGCAGGGGAGGTTTAGGAGCAGAGGCGCAGCAGGAGCCCGGGGCAGCGCTTGCCTGTTTCCTCCCAGGCTGCGGTGGTGAGCGCGGCAGGGCGGGTGTTTATGCGCGTCCTAGCAACCGCACGCGCTGGTGTACCGGTGCCCGGCGACACTGCAGGTGAGTGGCCGCGATGGCTTGCACCGCGATGGGGCTCGCAGCCTGGATTTCCTTCGGGCCTCTCTGTCTCTTTCATCTCTTCCCCGTTGTTCTGCGTCCCTCTTGGTCCAACTGTGGTGCCTCTTCAACCCGCTCAGATCTTTCTCTCACCCTTTCCTCAGCCTCCCTAGTCCCTCTGAGGTCTTCTTCCTACCTCTTTCATCCTCTTGGTTCCTCTCCCTTCACTCGCTTTCCTGCTGCCCACGAGCTGGCCTTCCCCTCCTCCTTTCCTGTCCATTCCCAGTCTCCCAATGTGGTCCCCCTCTGCCCTCTGCTTGGCCTTCTGCTCTCACCTTGACCTTCTCTGCCCACCGCCCACCGCCCACCTCTTTCAGCACCTCCACCACCACATCAGGGCACTCAGAGCTCCAGCCTCGGGTTAGGGTTTGAAATGTGCCCCCTCTGTGCCTGGGTCCTCATATCTTCATGCCACAGGGTCGAGTTAAATCGCACCTTGTTCATCAGTTCTGAAACTCCTTTTGCTACTTTTGCTGAGTAGTTTCTTCATGCACAGAGTGGCCACTCATGCCTGACTCTCCATAGATGACACACTTGGAGATTTACGTAGTCTCTCAGAGAACTGGATTTGTTACAGAGATTATTTTCAAAATTGTTCCGTTTTGTTAATAATAAAGGGAGCTCGTGGGTAGCATAAAAGCAAAATCCTATTAGAGTTAAGAAAACTAGTAATTAGTCATTACAATTTTGCGAACACACGTATATTTTGTTCCTTTCTAACTCTGAACTTAGAAACATTAATTCAGAGATATGTGTCATGTATTTGCTATAGCCGTTAAGGTTAAAAAAATAAACTAATGGATTGCCGATAATGGGGCTGGGGGACACTATAGTAGTTGCTTGTTTGAACATCACCTGTTTTCTTTTTTCCCCTAAGAGTACTGCTCTTGCTTTTGGGATTGTCCCAGAGTCTAAGGCATTCTTAGGGCTCCAGCTAATGCTCTACAGAGGTTGTCCATTGCTGGGCTCCTTGTCGTTGAATGAGAAAAGGAATCTACATAGATTTAAATGTGAGTTGAATTTACATTTCTATAAAATTTATCATGAGCAAAAGAACTCTCTGCACGTCTTAGTTCCTTTTAAAGTGTCCTCTAAGAAGTCCCCAGAGTGTGGCCTGACCGCCACAGTCATGTGTAATCTATCATTTTTCTTTAGAAAGATTGAAGGGAAGAAACGGTGCAGACACGTTCTGAAGCAAGGGTTATACTTACAATTAAATAGAGGCAGACTGTACACTGAAACTCTTCTGGATAGACAAAGCATTTGCACATTCTATTGTTTGTACTTAGTCTCAGAACACTAGGGAATGAAAGTGTCAGGCACACATGCTCATGCATTTGACATCAAAGCATTTTCCTTTAACTAGCAAGAGAAAAAGAAATCACAGAAAAATCCGTACATTGCATTTTGCCTTAACTAACCACCCCCGTTGTGTGTGTGTGAGAGAGAGAGAGAGAGAGAGAGAGAGAGAGAGAGAGAGAGAGAGAGAGAGAGAGAGAGAGAGAGAGAGAGAGAGAGAGTCAGAAAGCCGAAAGCCTGAAGGGACAGAGACTCACAGGAAAGTGATTTTCTACAACACCTAGATATTGTAACAAATACCTAGTAATGACACCTTAGTGTTCTAAAACCAAGAGTACAGATAATAAATAACCTTACATAGGTAATATAAGTTTAAACATAGGTAATGCTCTGTGAAGGAAAAGAATTGTAAATGTTTAGGCATCATTATACTAGACTATCTTAAGGAGTTATCCATCGTGAGATGGAATTACCTGAATGTGGTATACCTCCAAACTCAGGATGACACCAGTGTGTCAGAATGGAACTTAAATTTTGTGGCTGACATTGTCATGGTAGTGTGATTTCACAAGGCATCTGAGCTCTTGACTAAAACTCCATGTAGAGCAAAGTATGCAAACGTCAGTTTCAGTTATATGACATCCCCAATCCTGAGATATCCAGTGTACATTAAAACTGTGAAAAGTTTTTTTGTGACTTTCCTAAAGTTGAGGGAGATTTTAGGCTGTGGTATTGCTTATCTGAAGTTTTCTAAATACCAAAGATTTTCAGCAGAATTCTCCTTCTGGGCATTCTTAGGCATAAGAAGAATATTTGTATCCTTGGCACTCACCACTAAATGCCAACAATGTCTCTTCCTGTCATTTGGTGACTATGAATAGACATGTCTATAGTATTACTGCCCTGCATCCCAGCAGGAAATGGTCCCATGGAGAGAGCTGCAGGACTCCTGTAATTGGATTTCAAATTTTAATATGATGTAGAAAGTAAAATCTCCACTATTGTGTCAAACCTTGTGTTTCAAAGCCTTTGTTAAAATGACAGATAAGAAAAGCTCTGTTTATTTGTATTTAATTTTATGGCCATCTGATATTCTGGAGGGAAGGTTTTAACAGGTTTTACAAAATATAGATGATCTTTAAACAATACTACCATTGTTAATAAGTTGTTACTTTGTTCTTATTTAATGTTTCAGGTAGTCATTTTTTTAAAATCTCCTTTTACATACTAATTTCTGTTAAGCCAAAGTAAAATATTTTATTTTGATTTGTTTTAATTTTCTTGCTACACTATTTTGATAACAGTTTAGATAAATAGACTAAAAAGTCTCTGCTGTGTCCCTACATCTGTCACATAGTCTTAAGAAAGTAGATTCTATTTTGCACATGATCTACAAGCAGGGGATATGGGACTCCCTCAGATGCCCTGAATTGCACTTACTTTGGTCAAACATTAAGTATTTAATTCACAACAATTCACAATCCCACTTTGATCCTATTTTGCATTAACCCCAGAGGCATGTGAGAAACTTAAGACTCTTGGAAGAGGGCTTGTCTGCCTTCACTGCACCCGTGCAGACACTATTACTGTAAGAAAGTCAGAACAGCACATTTAGTTTAATTGCTTAATTCTAAATGATGTGTGGCTCAGATCAAATATGCGCGTCTCACTCAAACCCCCAGCCTCCATCAGAGCTGGGAAGCAACACTCTTACTCTTACTGCCAACCTCCCCTGATTCTCTTTTTCCATTCTTGAAGTTCTCTTTTTGAGCTTTCTGTCCAGCTGTTCTTTTTCTTAGACTCTTGGAAATTACAAGACATTATTAATTTTAGGGTAGGCTGATACTGGAAACTCCTTCAATACAAGTCAGTTTTATGTAGTGATGCTTAGCTGTTTTATTGCATTGAATAATGGTTAGTTTAACAATATAGACTGTAAGTTGAATAGTACTAGTGTAAAATCTTGAAGACGAAAAAATGTTCATGTGAGAATGTGGAAGCCTCTAACTCCTTCTATTTTGCTGTAGTGCGTGTTCTGAGCTTGACTCAGAGTATTAACAGACCCATGGGTGTGGCGTTGACCAGATCCGCACAGTGGACTGCCGCGGGGTACGAGACAGGAACCCTGGAGATCACCCCTCTGAACGAGTCAATATTGAATGAAATTACTAAGTTTATGGAGTCTTTTATTCATAAATATCCCCAAGAGGCAAAATTTGTTTTTGTAGAACCACTCGAGTGGGAAACAAATTTGGAGCCCTCAGCATTTGAATCAGGTTATATTGTCAGGTAAGCTACTTAATGGCTTCTAAAATTTAATAATAACTCTATTTACATTTTCACTGACTGGCTAAGGGGTTGGGCCTAATTAATAATCCCCAAAATGGGGGTTGCAAAGTGGAGATACATAGAAAACTTAAAGATATTTCAGGTGGCAAAAAAATGAGATTTATCTCATTTTAATGTAAATGTCATTTCTTTTTGATGGATGCATTTTCCAGATCTCAGTTTCCATTGTCTGATCCTTTTTCCTGCTCACATTCCCACTCATCTGTATGACCTTCTGGATATTAATAGTTCCTGGTTTGTGATGCCTGATATAGCCAAATCCTTATAGTATTTAACTATCTCATTCTCTAGAATGGCAAGAGGAGGGTGGAGAATTTTGCTCAATACAAGAGAAAAAGACCCATGTTTTGTGTGTGAGAGACATGTGCTTTGCTAATAATTCTACCCGTGGTCCTTAAGGAGAAACTCTTAGGAAAGAGTCTTTCAGATATGAGATTTATAAAGATTCTGCCTCTAGCTCAAAGAGTGAGATATCAGTTCATCTCTTTTGGATATGTGTGTGTGTGTGCATGCTTATGTATATGAATATATAATAGCCAATATTAGATATGCATATATGAATCACTGTATGCTGTGTTTGAGTAGTAAGCAGGCACAGGTGTGTATTTACTTGAGGGAGCACTGTCACTTAGTTATGCAGCTTGGTCACTCTCTTTCCTGTGACCTGCCCCCTTTCGAGGTTTACTTTCTCTCTTAAAGACAGATCACATAAAAAGCAATTTCCGAGCTCACTGAAGCTCCTTGCAGATAGCTTTCCTCTTTCTCTTGGGATTATTTGGACAAGAAAGTCAAGATTTCATTTTCACAATTGCAAATCCATTCCTGAGCTGCACTGAAGAGCTCTTTAGTGCCATGTCTCCCTTTTCTGTAGTTTTGCATTTTTAATGGTGCGGTGAATATTTGCCAAGGGTCACTATCTGCCCTAGTGTTCCTCATTTGTATATTACTGCCTAATTCTTGGTTACTTCAATTTTTTTTAATTTTGAAAGATGAACTCAGCTGCAAAACCAAGTAGAAACACATTAACTACTTTGTACAAAGATGGTTTTACAGCAGATGACAGAAGAATTGTCATCATATCTGGCCTCTGCACTACTTATACGTGCCAAGTCCAAACATGACCACATCTGTCTTCTTAGTTATTGGGTATGCAACACACTCCTCAAATGTGTCACTGTTTTCCTTTCTCTTGAATACATTTTTTTACTTAGTTTCCATAAGTAGTCTCTGCCTGCAGTCTTCCTGCATGCTGCCCCTCCTAAGCCATACTTGGGCACTTTGAAACATGTGTATCTTGAAAACATCAGCTCCTGGATTATGTCATTTCTGTCAACTTTGTTGTGAAACTCTCTGCTTTTGCTGTTCATTGCTTTTGTTTTTGACCTTTACTGAAGCTGCCTTTGATGTTGGATGAGAGAGGCTCAGTAGTATCACTTACTGGGAACTAAACTGTGCTTCCTTGGCTCTGATGAAAACCAGATGGGTACTGACTGCCTTAACGAAGGCAATATCTAATTTACAGATAAGACCTTGTTAATAACAGAAAATACTAAATGATTCATGCTTAACTCCATCTTAAGCATGTTTTACACACCAGCCTAAGGAATGTTCAACAGCCTATAGTCACTTTTCGGTTAGTGTGACAAAGTACCGGAGACAATCAACTTGAAGGAGGAAAAGTTTGTTTTGGCTCATGGTCTTTGACACTTTTCTTTCCACCCCGTTTTGTTTTTGTTTTTGTTTTGTTTGTTTAGAACTGTGATGAGGTAGCAGAAGTATGTAGTGGAAGAATACCCTGTGGTATCTGGAAAGAAAAGAAAGAGTTGAAAGACACAAAGTCCCAGTTATTCTCCTTAGTGTCGTACCTCTGGCACCTTAGTTTCCTTTCCTGTCACTGTGATAAAATACCTTGACAAAAGCAACTTAAGAGAGAAAGGGTTTGTCTGCCTCACAGTTGTAGGCTATAGTCCATTATGGAAGGGGAGTCAGACTGGCAGGAGGGAGCTGATCACTATAGTCCATTATGGAAGGGGAGTCAGACTGGCAGGAGGGAGCTGATCACTATAGTCCATTATGGAAGGGGAGTCAGACTGGCAGGAGGGAGCTGATCACACGACACCTATAAAGCAGAGAGCACTAAACATACTCCTGCTGCCACCCAGCTCCTGTCTTAGTTAATGTTGTCAGCTGGTGTTGGGGAAGTCCTGTGCATTTGTCAATAAAGCACTGTCTGGCCAATAGGAAATCTAGATAGGAGGGACTAGGAGTCCAGAAGGACTCTGGGTAAGAGAAACACAGGAGATTCAAGATGTAACGCCATGGGGTAGGAAGCCCGGAACTATTCTCCGGTAAGAGAAATACTTAGATTAACAATTATGGGGTAATTACCTAAGTCAGAGCTAGCCAGTAAGAAACAAGCAAGGCCAACAGCTTCATAATTAATATAGCCTCCTGTGTGTTTATTTGGGACTGATGTGGCTCTAGAACCAGGCTGGCAGGAAGGCTTCTCTCAAGGAAAAAGCTTCTCTTTACAAACTGGAAACAAGCCCAGATGTACCTGGGAAGAGAGAGTATCTAGTGAGGAATTGCATGCACCAGATACACTTGTGGGCATGTCTGGGGGGGATTTTCTTAATTGCTAATTGATGTCGTGGGGCCCCACCTGGGCCAGTGGGACTGGACTGTATAAGAAGGGTACCCAAGAACTCCAGGGGAGCCAAGTCAGTGAGCAGTGTTCCTATATTGCTTCTGCTTCAGTTCTTTACTCTAGTTTCCTTCCTCAGCTCCTTCCATGACTTCCCTCAATAATGGACTACAGTCTGAAAGCCAAATAAACGTTTTGTTCTCCAGGTTGGTTTTGGTCAGTGTTTTATCACAGCAACAGAAAGCAAAGCAGAACAGAAACTGGTACGGTGAACATGGGGTGATTCTGTGATGGACCTGGCCATTGGGCTCTTTTTCTTTGGACTCTTGTTGGAATAAAGTGGAAGAGTTTGGGGCTTTAGGCTGGAAATGGGGAGAGGGCTCAGAACTGTTGTGGGAGGTTGAACAATTCCAGTAGAGGAAGACTCATATGAGGAACCGCCTATGTTAGACTGACCTGTGAGAGCATTTTTTAAAATTGTTACTTGGTGTAGGAGGGCCCAGCCCACTGTTGGCTGTGCCATTCCTGGGCAGGTGGGCTTGAGCTGTATAAGATACCCAAGCAAGCCAGGACATCAGTAAGCATCATTTCTCTGTAGTGTCTGCTTCAGTTCTGGCCTCTGAGTCCCTGCCTTAAGCACCCACACCATTCTCCCTTCATGATAGACAATCACCTGAAATCAATACAGGAACACTGCTTACTGACTTGGCTCTCCTTGAGTTCTCGGGTAACCTTCTTATACATTCCAATCCCATTGGCCCAGGCTGGGCCCCACGACATCATGGAAGTTCCAGGGATTGATGAGTCATCTGATTTGCTCACCAGGGGCTTTTGCCTGTTGAACCCTCTCTCCAGCCTAGCCCATTCTTCTTGAGTGGGGTGCTGTGTTGTTCTTTCCAAGAACTCATTGTTTAGAGCTACAAATGTTGAAGCTGATGTTTCTTTGTGCATTCCGTGGTGTTGTAGTTCTCACATCTCTGCCCTAGCTGGTGAGCAGTGAGAAAGAAAGAAAGAAAGAAAGAAAGAAAGAAAGAAAGAAAGAAAGAAAGAAGGAAATGTCCATCATAAAGAGCATTCCAGGACACAGAGCTTCCAGCCGCGGCATCAGGTACAACAGTCCCTGCTTCTGGGCCTGAGTTCCAGTGCCTGGGGATTGCCTGGGAACTGCACAGAGCTTCCAATCCCGGCGGGAGCCAAACACCCCAGACTCCAGGACTTCTCTCCCACCAACGAGACCAGGAAACCAGAGGAGCCAGGGAGACCAGGGGAGCAGCTGTTCTGGCCACAGGATCAGGTACAACAGGATCCAGCAAAGGGTCCAGGGGACCAGGTGGGAGGCTAAGCGCCCCAGATTCCTGTTCTTTACACCCACAGGACCAGAACGAGGATAGGGAATAGAAGAACCACCAGATTATTGGAATTGCTAGCACCCACCAAAAGGGAACTCTGGTCCCTTAACCACGGGACCAGTAAGGGGCTCTCTCTACACGCACTAGAAGAAGAGATGGGAAAGAGACAATACAAAAACACACTCAGCAACAGAAAAACAAATATGACACCACCAGATTCTAGAGACTCCATACCAGCAAGACTCCAACATTCCAATGCAAATGAAGCAGAAGAGAATGACCTTAAAACCACTTTCATGAAAATGATAGAGGCCTTAAAAGAGGATATAGGAAAATCCCTCAAAGAAATGGAAGAAAAAACAAACCAAAAAATTGCAAGAAATGGAAGAAGAAACGAAGCAAAAAATGCAAGAAATGGAAGAAAAAACAAAGCAAAAAATGAAAGAAATGAAAGAAGAAACATACAAAAAAAGGCAGGAAATGGAAGAAGAAACAAAGCAAAAAATGCAAGAAATGGAAGAAAAAGCAAAGCAAAAATGCAAGAAATGGAAGAAAGAACAAACCAAAAAATTCATAAAAGGCAACAAATGGACGAAAAGATAAACCGAAAATTGCAAGAAGTAATGCAAACACAGCAAGGGTTGAAAACTGAAATAGAGACAATAAAAAAAACACAATCTGAAGAAAGGCAGGAAATAGAAAACTGGGCAAACAGTCAGGTACTACCGATACAATCATTACCAACAGAATACAAGAGATGGAAGAGAGAATCTCAAGTGTTGAAGATACACTAGGAGAAATGGATTCATCAACCAAAGAAAAGTCCAACAAATCCTTAACACAAAACATCCAGGAAATATGGGACACCATGAAAAGACCAAACCTAAGAATAACAGGTATAGAAGAAGGAGAAGAAAACCACCTCAAAGGGGCAGAAAATATATTCA